TTCCAATCTGCTAGATGTTTGTCAAGAGCTATTTTCCAAATTCAGTTTTTACCTTATGGTGAATTTACTAGAGATGTTTTGAACTTATATCATTTTATTTCCTTTGGGGCTGTTTGTTAGGAATATGCTCTTATTTCTTGGCATGACATAAAAGAAGCATTAATGGTCACTTTTTGGCCTTTATAACAATCATCTTGCCCAATTATTCGTACATCATTGTTGATCAAAATTTGAGCTCTTTTAAACTATACCAAGGTCAATAAATGGAAAGGTTGTTAAATCTTTTAAAACTTTTCTTTAATTTGTAGTTGAAGTGTTGTAGTCTATTACAAATTTTATTTTGGTTGTATGATCTTTTCTATACGAGATCGGTGAAATAACACAAGAGATCTGTTAATAAAACCCATTACATTTTTTGCGATTTTTCTATAAAAAAATATAGGTGGATGCATGTAAATATATTTGATGAGACCATTCTAGAAAATATGATGGATGTGTGTATATATAGATGTTTCCTGGATATTTTTGTATAATTGGATGAGGGTGTTTTAAGTTTTTTTGAGTGTTTTTGCAATAATGGGCTAAGGTTGTTAAACCCCTAAAACTTTTCTTTAATTATACATTGTCGAACTTTTGTAATAAATTACCTTTCTTTTTCGTTAAAGATAAATTCTAATATGTTTGGTGAAGTGAATGGTATCAACAAGTTTCTATTTTTAATTTTGACAAAGTTGGGACCATTTTGATGTCACTTACCACTCATTTGTATATGCATGTAATGTAGACATAATTATTTTGATTCATTTTACTTCATATATCTAGTGAAATTCTTGGAAAAAGAAGGGGAAAAGGTGTTAAAATAGGTAGTGTGGTTGCTACTTTACATGGACTTTGAAGTCAAGGGGACAATAATGGACTAATTAAGGTTGTAGAATTTTTAATTTTTTTTTCTTTGATTTATAATCGAAGTATCATAGTTCATTGCAAAATTTATTTTAGCAGTATAATCCTTTTTTCAATAAATTAAAATGATGGAAGAACCCGTGATACAGGAATAGCTTACTACTAAAATTTTGAATTTTACAACAATTACATACTTAAAAAACCTAGAAGAACAAAGTAGTTTGAATCCGAAAAGTATGCTTAGTCAATTCTTTAAAAAAAATACTTGTGTCCCTTTAAAAATATTCGATAAAATTGAAACGAGACAATTAACGCGCTTGGATAACACACTTCATTTGGTCACATACAATTAAACAAAGAAAGGTATAGCTCAAATTTTAACAATATGACATTTACAATATTGAGAAGTAAAAATGTTATTTTTGGGGTGGCGGAGAAAGGACTCCGGGAGGAGGTGCTGGTGGTGGCGGTCCATAGTACGGAGGAACCATGGCGGCTTCTCGGCGGCCTCGTGACTTACCAAAGAGGTAACAAGCAAGAGCTGAGATAAGGATGATCAGAATCAATGGCAGTGATATAACAATCACAAAACCCATTGATTCAAGTTTTTCTTAAACCTAAAGGCTTTAATATCCTGCCAAAATTATTATGTGCACACGTTAAAACAAGACGACTTTTAATACCTAAGTTATATGTACTAACGATACAAATAAAAGTTTTATATCGATTTTAAAAATCACAAATAGGTGTTATGATTCAGTTACAGAAGATCTTAAACTACCAAAAACAGTGCAAATTTAATGCACATGTATCTGAAATACATGAAATCCAACGTATCAGATACATGTATCGAGAACTAATCTCGCACAACTCATATATTATTGAAACAAACTATCGTTTCATTGAGTAATTATCACCTACGATAGCATGCTTTATAAAAGAAATGGGCTTTAATTACTTGGATGATCCAAATTCTCCAAATTCCCCCCACAGGAAAAATTACTTGGATTGGTACCTTTTAATAAATAATTATTGATTTTAGCGATACTTTTTATTTATTACCATTACAGCAATACATAGCAAAATCTGCAATATGTATTAAAAGTGAATTATGTATGCAATACATATATATATATTATAACTGTTTTTTAAATATATTTTGCTTGTTTGGTAAGAAATTGACACATTGTATTATAAGTGTATTAAAATGTGTGATAAATATATTATTCATCAATAAAACTTGTATTATATGTGAATAATAAATTGTTCTTTGTAATATGTATTAAAACTGTATTATAAATGTATTAAAAGTAATCAAGTGGGAAAAAAATGGTATTGCTATAAATGATAAATATTTTTTTAATATAGTATATTTATGTAAGTTTCCCCAATAAAATAACAAAAACAACTTTCAACCTTACTTCATCGGAAGTGGACCGTATATTAGAGCCCAATTACAACTGAGGTCCAGCCCAACTTACGAATTTCTTCTCGTGTTTGTTTATAAAAAAAGGAAGAGAGTGTATTTTATCGATTTCAAAATTATTCGATTTAGTAGATTTTAAATATGTAAGCTAAATTTAAATAAAAAGTATTTCATATAACTAAAACAAGAATTTATTTTGAAGCAACTCCAAAATTGTTACATCTAAAACTCCAACATGATGTACTTGAAATTTCTTTATATGTGGTCTTATCTAATAGCTAGGGATAACTAATACCAGACTTAATAATACTTGGATAAGACAATAAAATGATTGAACTACCCCTCAATTTCTTTATAGTCTTAAGACTTAAGTAAAGAAACATCATATTTCTCGATTAAACAAGCCTAAAAATAATTCAAGGATATAATTGTTTTTGTAAAGTTTTAAACCAAACACAATGCTAGGTGCCGGTGGGAAGCAAGCAATGAACCAAACACTTGATAAAAAGTAATTTCAGCATTACTAATTCGTGTATTATTAATCTCGGTATTGCTAATTCATGCGCTATTGATCTTTGTACCAAACAACCCCTTATTGTATTGAAATTTCATAGGTAAAAATTGGTTATGAACAACTCGTTCATGATTCGTCAAAACTTGTGAACAATTTAATTCAAAATCTTCACCTATATATCGTAAAAAAAAAACTTCTGGTGATCTGTCAAGACTTATCACCGAGTTGTGAATCCCAAGTTCAAGTTCAAATTCATAAAATTAATACCCTATTTGTATAAACACTCGAATCTAAATTAATCGGACACAGGAGATCATCAACCATATATCATGCCGACATACAGGAAGGTAAGGGAATCAAGAGTAAATAAAAATACAAGATAAGCAAACAAATAATAATAACATATTCGGTATAATTTTATAACCGATAACGAAAAGAATAAATTAGAAAAAATAAAACTTACCTTGTTGTTCTGACAACACCACAAATTAAATTCATAAACTGATGGATCACCTCGTACTGAAACTGAAACAGAACTTTAATTTCTTCACTCTTTAAAATCTGGAAAAAGACATTGGATTTAGGATTTTGGTGCTGTTTTTTACCTTTTTTTAGGTGTTTTTTTTTTTTTAATTATGATAAAGATGATGACGTGTCTGAATATAAAGGCTTTCAATACGAGTGAATGACAGCTTTTTATTTTTGTTGATCTTTATAATTGGTATTACTTTCGTCCACTTTTAATTGTCATTTTATATTTTCTCGAAAGTCAATTTGACTAAAAAAATTAAAATTAATTTAAATTACATTAATTTGATATTTATTAAAAAAATTAGATATTCAAAAACTATCCAAAATTACTATAAATTACAATAAAATGAAAAAAATATATCATAAAATATTAGTCAAAATTTATATAATTCAACAAAAATTATGACAATAAAAAATAGACGGAACAAAAACGTACTTTTTGTTTAGTTGACGTAAGAAAGTGTAGACAACTCATTTATAGCATCAATACTTGGCACATAGGTTGCGTTTTTTCCAATCCATAACCACATACACACGAGATGCTTTCCTATTTCATATTCGATGGTTCATTCGATTATCCGAATTAAAATTTGATTAATCGTGATGTCAATCAACATCATATAAGATTTTATTCGAAAGAAACGCATTTCTTATCAAAAAATTATGTTCTCAAAACCTAAATCTGAGATCTCTTCATTAAAAAAAATACAATATCATTCGCTACACGATATCTTTTTATGATTAACTTATAATTAACTTATAAGGATAAGTTGGACTTAAATTCTTTTTTCCAGAGTGTTCCTTATATATGGACGGAGAGCGAATAAAATTTTTAATATTAATAACTTGAGTAGATTCAGAACTTACATAAGATATAAGAATCTCACAAGTCATAATGATATTTTGGAAGAAAAAAATCATGTAAAATTTAACTTTGAAACTAATAATATCATATTATATATTTAAAATATTTTAAAAGTGATTCAACCTAATAATTGATATTAGAGCCCAAATTCAACACAATAAATAATGAGCACTTTCACATATAGCAAACATAAAAATTTTCACATATAGCAAACATAAAAATTATCTTTATATGTTATAGCTATAGTTTGTATAATTGCGCTTCATAGCAAATTTTATGTTTGTTATGAAGCTTTTGATTTATATAATTCGCTATTTTATACAAATTGTTCAGTTTTGTATAAAATTCATTTATACATTATAATTTGTATAATAAGATCTGTATTTATATAATTATAAGTGTATAGGACGAAAATATATGTATTTGTATATACACTTTTCTCTCGCTTTATACAAACACAAACACATTTTATACATTTTATACCGAAATGTATAAAATAGCTAATTGTATATCAAAAATGGCTAATTGTATACCGAATCAGATGGCAAAAAAATGAGATCTTTGCTGCAAATTACAAATAAAATAAACTATAGCTATATCTTTTTTTTATAAAGATAATGTTGATTAAACTATAGCTATATCATTTAATTTGAATTAATAGTTTGTTATTTCATACAATTTTCCCATAAATAATATGAAAATGACAGCGCGATAAAATGTAAGGCTCGATTTTCGATTTTATTCTACAAAACACCACAATATCATATAACACAACTTAAAAGTGATATTTCATTCTAATAAAAATACAAAATCAAGAAACATACATGATACAACAAGATATAAAAAGTTCTTTAAACAAAATTAAAGCGTTCCATTTTATTTATTTTATTATGAGGAATTATTTGAATAATTATATAATCACCATCTACCCCTTGATCTTCCAAAGAAGTAACAAGCAATGGCTATTAAAATCAATACCAATATAGCCAAAGGCAATGATATCACTAGTACATGCATCTTCTCTTTTTATAATATGGTATATTCCTGCATTCATACAAAAATATTTTTTTATTAATTCCAATCAATTGTAAGTAAGCTCAAATTAATTTTAGATATGCCATATCTTTAAAATATGCTTTAAATTCATACTTCCTTTGCTTTAATTTATATGACATTCAAATTTCGAGAGTAAATTTTTTTTAAATGCAATTTATTCATATATTTTTAATGTCTGAATGTGCGATCAAAATAAAATATTTAGTCTCAAAATTTAAAACTATATCATATAAATTGAGATAAAATTATATTTCATAATTTAAAAATTAAAAAAAAGGTGCAAAACTCCTCCTTTACCACAAGACAAATTAAGAAGATAGGTACATACCTTGTCTAGTATCCAAACTACTTCGATTGAACTTTTCTTGTATTTTCCTTTTAATTACAAATCCCAAAACTCACATAAATAAAAATGGAAAGTAAGAGTTTAAGAAATTTTAGTAGACACAAAAAGGAAAAATTGGAGAGTTCATATGATATAAGCAAATTAAAAGAATAAAAAATAAAAATGACAAAAGGAAAGGAATTACCATAAAGTGACACGAAATGCTTTCAACTTTCTACGTGTATGAGTTTAGACGAGGTTCCTTCCTTGTCATGACAACCGCGCTCGATATGAAATTTATTGACTCGATTAATATAATTTTGATAATATCGATTTTTCGTTTTAATTTACGTGATATATTTTTATTTTATTTATAATTACACAACTATATATAATTCATCGACTTCATATCCACCCTAAGTTGGAGGATATAAATTAGAACAAACGAAGGGAGTAATAGGAAGTACTTTCATAAATACAAAACCAAGAAAGAAGTGACAACATAATATAGCGCTATTTCCTTGGGTTCTATAATTAAAATCCATATATAACGAATATAAATATATTATTCAAACAAATATTATTAAATTCAGTTAAATTTGTATTCAGACTTCTAACTCCATCGAGCAGAAGAAGCATAATAGAACATTTTGGAGTAAAATTTATCAGCAACAACCCCTTGATCTTCCACACATGTAACAAACAATGGCTACTATCAATACCAATATAATCAAAGGCAATGAAATCACTATTACATACATCTTCTATATATTTCTCTTAGCCCCTCCTGCATTGACACAAAAAAATTTTTATCAATAAATCAATTGATTTATTTAGTTAATTTACTCGCTATGTTCTAATTTATGTAGCTTTATTCATTTTTCGAGAGTTAAAATTTAACTAATAGTTAAATTGTATCAAAATAACTTAATATTTTAAAATTAAAAATAGAAGTACTGTAAGTTGCAAAAATATCCTCTCATGCCAATAAAATGAAAAGAGTATATTATAAAAATATAAATCAAAGTCAATATAATTTGAATTTCGAAAAAAAAATGTATGACATAAATAAAAATAAGGAGATAAATAACGAAGCCAACACCCAAGTAAAATTTAAGGATCGTTCCGTTCATAGAATAAGATTAATATTCTTAAATTTAAGATTAAATATTTAAATCTATACTTTATTTGGGTTAAAAGATATAACTAATCTCGGAATATATTTTTAAACTAAATGTTATTTTATCTCACCCAAAAATTAAAAAAGTTAATCACAAAATTATAGTTTCAAAATATCTTTATCTATGAACTAAACGATTCAACGATGCAAGAACATGAAAGAAGGTATTTGAAATAAAAAGAAAAGTGGTTTTTGACGAATGCGACTCTCCTTAATCATTAGAATAATAATTTCTATAGAAAATAAAATCAGCTTTTGTATGCCTCAATTAAATTTATGCATCTGATCTAGTAAATTTTTATCACCGCTAAAATTTAAAACTCTTTATTAATCACTCGATCACATTTTTAATTGAGATTTACATGATTTTTTGTTTCATTTTCATTCGAGAGAATTTGAATTTAAATTATCTGGATCTCGATCTTTTAAGTAGATCTTCTTCTTCTTCCTCTTCTTTTCAACCGCATATTCAATAACCATGGCTAAAATTACTATAAGGCACCAATTAACAAGCACCACCAACTCATTACTAGTATCAATCACCTCCACCATTAATTATATTTTACTATTGATTGTTACTATAGTTAATCACATCGATTATCAATTATACATTAATTTTTATTATGTTACCATAAATATTGATTGTTACAAATAATCACCTCTATTATTGGTTATGACTGTTCAAACATCACCTTTGGTCCACCTATGCACAATCATAGACAATAATCACTCACCAATCATACAAAATCATGAGACAATATATATATAGTGTTACCTTGGGCTCTATAATTAAAATTCAAATATAACGAATTTACTAATATAAATATATTATTTAAACGAATATTGTTAAATTTAGACAAATTTGTATTCAGACTCTAGCTCCATCGAACAGAACAAGCATAATAGAACATTTTGGAGTGAATTTTATTAGCAACAACCCCTTGATCTTCCACACATGTAACAAACAATGGCTACTATTAATACCAATATAATCAAAGGCAATGAAATCACTATTACATACATCTTCTATATATTTTCTCTTAGCCCTCCTGCATTGACACAAAAATAAATTTATCAATAAATCAATTGCTTTATTTAGTTATTTAATTTATTCACTACGTTCTAATTTAAGTAGTTTTTCATTTTTTAGAGTTTAATTTAACTAATAGTTAATTGTTCAAAATAACTTAATATTTTAAAATTAAAAATAGAAGTACTGTAAGTTGCAAAAAAATATTCTCATGCCAATAAAATGAAAAAAGTATATTATAAAAAATATAAATCAAAGTCAATATAATTTGAATTTCGAAAAAAAAATGTATAACATAAATAAGAATAAGGAGATAAATAACAAAGCCAACACCCAAGTAAAATTTAAGGATCGTTCGATTCATAGAATAAGATTGGATATTCTTAAATTTAAGATTAAATATTTAAATCTATACTTTATTTGGGTTAAAAGATATAACTAATATCAGAATATATTTATACCTTAAATTAAGTGTTATTTTATCTCACCCGAAAAATTAAAAAAAAATTGATCACAAAATTATAACTTCAAAATATTTTATCTATGAACTAAACGACTCAACGATACAAATGCTACTCTCCTTAACTAATCATTAGAATAATTAATTTCTATAGAGAATAAAATCAGTTTTCGTATGCCTCAATTAAATTTATGTATCTTATCTAATAACTTTTATCTCCGCTAAAATCTAAAACTCTTTATTAATCACTCGATCACATTTTTAATTGAGATTTAAATGATTTTTTTGTTTCATTTTCATTCAAGAGAATTTGAATTTAAATTATCTGGATCTCGATCTTTTAAGTAGATCTCCTTCTTTTTTTCAACCGCGTATTCAATAACCATGACTAAAATTACTATAAACCACCAATTTAAATTGTTTTTACTATTGATTGTCACTATAGTTAATCACATCGACTATCAATTATCATTAATTTTTATTATGTTACCATAAATATTGATCGTTACAAATAATCACCTCTATTATTGGTTATGACTGTTCAAACATCACCTTTGGTCCACCTATGCACAATCATCGACAATAATCACTCACAATTTATTTTAAATATATTTTACCAATCATACAAAATCATTCAAATAATCTTAATTATTTAGGTTCAAGTAAAAAGGAAATCAAATGAAAAAAAGATTGTGACAAAAGGGCATGAACCTTAATACATGAGGAAACAATAGAAATGGATTGGTTGCTTATCTAATACTCAAATTGGATCAATAATTGATATTTAGATTTCATTGTAAATCTAGTTAATTATTTTATTTTTTTAAGTAACGTAAATCAATAATTCAACCGCATTCTTTTTATTTTAGTTCGATTATACATGCTAAAGTATATAAAATAAGATAGAAATACATACCTTTATCTACCAAAACTTCTAGTTGATCTTTGTTTGTCAATAAAACAAAGCTAAAACTCACATAAATAGAATGGGAAAGAGAAGAAGTTAAGCAAATGTTATAGAAACTTTGCAAGAAAGAAAAGACAAGTGGAGAGTGATATAATGCAATAGAAAGTAGAAGAAGAAAAGATTGAAAAAGACAGCAACTTTAATTCTACGTGTATGATGTAAGACCACAATACATTTAACTTTTTCTTTCGAAATATGAAATTTATCGATCTGATTAATTAAATTTCAATCAAATTTTAAAAATCTTTGACTAAGAGTCAAGGGTGAAATATCAACCACCAAATCACACTCTAGAGTTATTATCTCATCTTCGATAATGGTCTAATATTTTGATGTCCTAAGCAGCGAATCACACAATAATTTATGTCAAATTTAATGATTAAATTCTACTCAGACGTAGAAGTAAATTTAAGATTTTAAATTTATGAAATCTGAAATATAAGATAGAATAATATACTAATTTTTCAAAATGGATTATTTACATATGTTTAGAAAAAAATTTCAATAAAAATATAAATTATAAAATTTTATTGAACCTATAATGATGACAATAATTTCAACTAAAGCGATAAGGATAAGAATTCTTTATTGGAATATGGTTGTCCTTCTTCTAGCCATTTCACATTCATCCTCTTTGATCTTTATACTCCTTTTATTGCAATTAGGTCACAAATCTAAAAAAAGAAAAAATTAGTCACACAAAGTAATTTACATATTTAAGAAGATAAAATTTCAAAAATCTATTCATATTATGTCACAAAAATAGAATGGAGAGAAGTATTGTTGTGTAATCTCCTCTAACAACCAATAAAGAGTTGTGATGGAATGACTAAAATCTCTTCACTTTAACTAATAGTTCCCCACAAAAAAAGAGGTAAAGGTTTAACGTATATGGCAACTAAGTGCAAACTACATCAGCTACAACTAACAGTCCCACCACATAAAAAGGAAGTAGTAATACACAATACAACAACACATACCCAGTGTAGTCCCACATAATGAGTTTGAGACGCATAACTTACGCCTACCTCAGAGCTAGAGGACGAGGTGGTTTCCAATAGACCCTCGGATCAAGGAAAGTAGTAATATACAACAACCTTTTGATATACTCAGAGCTAGAGGTTGTTTCCATTGGTTCAACATAGCACTATGGAAAGAAAAGGAAGAGAACTGCAAATTGCGCCACATAATACATATCTTGTAATAACATCTTTTCCTGCCTTTTAGCCCGTTTCATTTCACCATTGCAGTTTTACATTAACCTCGTTACAACATTTTATCCTATGTATACAGATTGAGGTACAAGGGGTGGGGTGAATAAGCTGCAAAGATTCAAATACACATGAGATACAGGGAGGTAGTTGAGGAAGGGGGGATAATTCACAGAAACTAAGAACAAGTCTAACAATGGTGATCTCACCAGTCAATTGCTATGAACTGAGAAAGGAGCATTACAAGACGAACGGGGGTGACGAGGCCGACAGCGTTACTTTGCGTGGTCCAGCAACTCCACCCACCTCCTGGTTTCCTACTGGCTTATTGGATAGTCGACGTTTATAGCGCTTGAGGACGGATGCCAGGTTCTCTTTTCCTTTAGGAAAGGCTACATCCCCTGCTGCAGTGCCCGTTCGTCCCTTTCGACAGGAAATTGCCGTCTCCACGTCTTTGATCATCTCTAAGAGCATTGCTGCAGTCGTGCATTTTCCTCGGCCCTGTTTTGCTTGTGGCGGCAAGTTTCCATTTGAAATTGGAGGGGGGCTTGCCTTTTGCTGGCGGCCAACCGGAATTTGAAGACAAAAACAATGGCTCGTAGGAGAACGGGGCTTCGAAAATGCCAGATCTACTATGCCCTGAAGTTGGTAAATGATTCATCAGATAAATAATAAATCTTATACTAGCAGCTATTGAGGTTGACACATTGATGTAGAACATTTCTTGAGCGTCAAGACCAACTCAATTATAGCACTTTCCCGCTGTTCCAAGAAAAGACAATTTCAAACAAATGACCCCCACCCTACGGTTTCATGGCGTTTTTGATGCTTTTACCACTTGTTTAGCCACCTTAAAATGGAAGGACCAGGATAGTCACTACAATGTCTTTTTTGGCACGGTACAAGGTCCAACGATGAATCTAACACAAAATACGGTTATTTAAACCTTAAATGATGTGATATAAGCTTTGAAGAGGGTTTTCATGAAGGATTGTGGGATAACACCAAAAAGCATGCTTCATTTCTTCAATGCTTAAAAATAGCTTTTCATTAAAAAATTACTGAAAGAAACAGAAAACTTCAAGAATTCTGTGAATGAACAAAAGATAGATAGGATATGAGGCTTTACCTGAAGACGGTTGAGAACATAGGTATATTTGCCCCACAACTCTGGCCTACTTTCCATAAGTGAAAGCTCAAGAATTCTGTGAATGCACCACACACCGAAGCTTACAATCAGATCTACTTTCCAAACACAACCTTCTCCACAGTGAGGAACTGACATCACCAAGAACTTGGTGTAATCCATCTCTTCAGGTTTTGGGGCAGAACCAGGTTTCCTGTTGGAAGAGAAGTGTGATTCACCAATGTTGGTCAACCTACTTATCTCCCTAGTTTCAGCTTCATAGAGAAATTTCTCTCTTGCAGCAATCCGACCTATAAGATCCTCATCAGCCCCATCATCTTGCCTAAATAACCACTCAGATCCTTCCAGTTTCAGAAGTTTCACAATACAACTTCTGAAAGACTGAAGCAGCTTAGCTTCCAAGTCAACCGTAGATGTACTCTCCTGAGCAGATGAACTCTGCACAGTTCCATGATCACCGCTACCAACATCTGGCTTACCAGCTACACCAAATTGCTCAAAAGGCTGTCTAGACCACAAGGATCCAGTCCCTGAATTGGAGCTGTACTGCAAGGAGAACGCATCTCTGCAGACTTTAGGAGAATGTTCATACCTCTGAGGACCACCTGCCCTAAGTGAACCACTCATATAGGCTTGTTCGTACGTAGATCGACCACCAGATTGTTCGAATCCCATGGAATTGTACCATTGAGCTCTCCCATCTGAGACTAAAGAATCTTGGCGAGGAACATAGCGCCCTGAGATATCAGGCAAGCTGTAGTACTTCTTAGAGTTGGCTGAGCCAGCCACGCTTTCAGCAGTTTCAGTAGAGCTAAGGTCGATAGAGGTGTTATTGGGCTGCATGGAATTATTTCGGGCTACAGGGACATTTCCAAAACCAGGTGGTGCTCGACTACTGACTCCACTCTGGGGTTTTTGCCCCGAAGCACGAGCCAATGGTTCGGCATAGTTTGACGTCAGTGATGATACAGAACGAGGAGATGGTGACTCCAGTTGCCCATTTAAATAATCAGATCCTCTTTCTTTCGCAAGTTGATTAAGGTAAGCAGTAATTTGATATCCATGCACAGTGGCAGGCTGCTGATCATAGCCAGCAGAAGTCGCTGGAATCCGCATACTAGAATAGCGCCTCTCCCCTGGGTCAAGTATGTTGCTGTTGGAACTTTGCACGTACGCACCTACTAATTTCATATGGTTAGACCACATAGAAGATGTCGAAGAAGGCTCCTTTGGGACTCTATAAGCAGAGTCCACAATGCTTGACGCAAATTGCTGCTTGGGAGAGTACATATTCGAGTTGATCAGAGACTCTGGTATCCTTGCACTCCCCGATGGAATATACGCACTGCTTTCCACTTTTAATGATGCAGGGGCAGGTTTTGGACTCATCTTTGAATCCAGACCAAGTATTATATCCAGTTTCTTGGACTTTGCTTCTGCTGTGGCCATGCCATGGTAATCAAAAAGCTGCCCCCAAAACTCATTTAGAGCTTCTGTTAACTGCCTCCTAGCTGCGCGACCAAGACCTGCTAATCTTGATAGACTTCCCGTACCACTCCCCATGTCCTCTAGTTTTCCACTTAGACTTTTGTATGACCCCGGACCATCAGAAATAAAAGATTGAGTGTTCTCAGATACTCCTTTGATTGCCTCTTCAGGCTCCTCCCACGAATCTCCATCATCCCTGTCATTTGCTATGTCCCCTTCAATTCTGAGAGTCTTCTCTACGACATCCACAGATTCAGTATTGAAGACACTGGTATCCACAGATACAACACCAGACACCTCATTACAAACACTTTTCACACCGGAACTTGCTCCTGCTGATACAGATACCTCAGGATGACCGACAGCAGGAGCTGAAAATGTTGTTTCAGATTTGCTCTCATCAATAGTAGCCAAATGATGGACCTTTTCAAAATCCAAGAGTGATTCTGGCAAGAGTTGATCAAGATCTTTAGTTGATAAATCTGGATGGCTTACCAAGGATTTATCCACATGAAATGCACCTTCTTGCTTTTGGGAGGACCCTTCTACTAGACCAAACATAGTATTACTCGCACCAAGTTGATTACACTCTAAATATGGCTCAGGCATAGGCGTTTGCAGAAATGCCTGAGCATCGAACCTGGAACTTGCAGATTTCAGTGGAGTAACTGCTAACCACAGCATCAGACAAAGAGATAAAGAGGCTGCAATGAGGAGAAAAACATATGGAGTAGACACACTACTCCCAATAGTCCACTTTAAATTATTAACCCAATCACTATTTCCAAATATCATCTCTATGACAAATATAATCTTTAGGCCAAGTAAGCCAATAAATGTGCCAAGAGATAAGAACTCCATTAACTGAGAAATTTTGTGAATACCCATAATTGATCTGGAAGAAGCAACTCTGAACAGGGGTATGACAGAAGATGGAAGCACAAGAGCTACCACAACCTGTGTTAATATTAGTAACTGATATAGGCCTTCAGCTCCTGAATTCCATACACAATAAAGGGCTGGGACAATGGAAATAACTCTGATCGTCACATGATGAAGCCAGCCTGGGATGTCCATTCCAAATAAGTCATGCACAACTGCTTGTCTACCAAGATCCCAAGTTAGTGGTGTAACTTGATTGGAAATAAATGTAACCAGCATTATGGTGAATGGTGCTACTGAGCTTCTGAACACCTGCGTCAATAATCCACGAAAATCATTAATATCTCTAGCTCACAAAGGCCCTAGCTTAGACAGAACCATCTTTTGCTGTTTGAATCTAACCTGATCGAGCAATGACAATGTGTCCTGAAATGTCAGCAACAAAAGGCCAGTACTATAAGACACATTGGCTGCTGAATTCATCGCGGCATAGTTGACCAGGAAAATGCCACTGAATATGAAAACAATGGCAAAAAAATGGTCCTGACACAGAGCTCCCCTGGAAAGCTCTGTTGATTCCTTACCTTGCTGCAAAAAAAGAATTTATATAGAGTTAAAGACGAGATAAGCTAGCCCCATTACATGATAAAAGTTAAGACTTGGGAGCCAGTCACAACCAAAATATCTAGAGAAGACCTCACATGACTATGAATAGTCTAGAGTTAAAGAGCTACAAAATCTAAGAAAGCAGTAGAACTAGTTGGAACAACAAAATAGACTGAACAAACATTTAGCCTTGAGTTATCAGGGCCCAATCACGCATACCAATAATTATCTTAACAATAAGTCCAGAGACAGACTGTATTATAAGTTACAGATGTGCCTCCGTTCTGCAAGCACAGATCAATATTTATGCATGCATATGCGCAAACACACACACACACACACATATGAGAGAGAGAGAGAAGGGACACCTGTACAATAGAAGAATGGAGGTAAAAATTGTGAGGCATAATACTTGCTCCAAGAAGACTCATCAATGCAAATGCACTCTCTCCACTAAACTTATTCAGCATACCACCAATGGAGAATGGAGTTTCAGGTTGAGTTATGACCACTCCAAAAACATAAGAGAGCAGTACAGAGCTTGCCCAGCCAACACATAAGAATTTTGCACTGCCATTGTCCTAGACATAGTATTTTGAAATCATTATTATTTATGAGAGACTAGAACTATACGACAAGAATCTGAGATAATTCAAGATGTCAATAACAGAAAGTCCAGAAGGATAGTTAGTAGTAAGACTTACAAAGAGAGAAGCAAGCAGTGGAAACAAAATGGCACCGGTTGCAGTCAGAAAAACACAGCTAAACAGGTCAATTCCAAACACAACATTAAGCCCATGTGCAGTCCCCAAAACCTATCAGAGTCAAGTGGTTGTAAGTTGATGCGCTAGAAAAGGTCATAATCTCAGAAGTCAGAGTGTACACGAAATGACATAGTGAAACTACCATTGTGAGGTCCAAAGCAATCATCGAAACCTCAGCTTGAATTCCTAGGAATATGCATGTAACTTTGTCATATTCTTCACTGCAAATCTTTGACACCATCAAGGACAACAAAGTTATTATACATCATCGGTTAAACAAAATACAAACTAATGATTTAAGCAGAAGATGTAACTTCAACTCATGCCAAACTTAAAATATGATGTCAACAACAATGCAAGTTTTGTTACATGCATTCTTCTTAACCAGTGTGTTGTAAGATGGAAGGACAACCTGACAGCTAGAGTTGCCAAAAGAATGACTTAAAAAAACTGGTCAACCCACATGTTCATTCCAGTACTCCCCCCGCTCAATAGTGTTAGCCAACTTATAAGACACTACCG